TATGAGACTCAAGTACCACAGCTATAAATGTTGACCATGTCTGTTTTTATCACTATATGAGACTCAAGTACCACAGCTATAAATGTTGACCATGTCTGTTTTTATCACTATATGAGACTCAGGTACCACAGCTATAAATGTTGACTATGTCTTTTGGGAAAGATTTAACAATGTAATGACATTTCTAAATCATTCTTAAAAGTTCTGCACAAGATATCACATACTAGTTGTATCTAAAGCATTTCTATAATTACATTCAAAATCAGGCCTGGTGGCCAGGGCGGTCGAGATCAAAACCCATTACCAAACACGCTCACTCTTCACCTGTGAGTGCGTTATAAATTGAAGATCAATCCTACTAATTGTTGACTACCTGCTTTTCCTCTAGTCTAACACTTAAAAATTATGGAAAGCTATCCCTTGAGCAGCTTTCCATGAAATGCAACAACAACAACAAGAAAAGAAAACATCCAAAAACAAAGTTATAAGTTTCCATTTTGAGAAGTATGGTTGCATATTTCAAGCCAAAAATTTACAAATGTGTTAAAATTGAGTATTTTTCAACAGCTTCAGCTTACATGTTGATCCACTGCTGGCCCCAGTTCTAAGAACTCTCCAACATTGACCTTAGTACTGAAAGTGAAGTTCTCTCTTGTAATGTTTGTGATCCCATTTCGTTGCAGGTACTAGAAAACACCAACAGATACAGTTGTAAAACTTACAGTTCAATGTTTTACTTTTCTACTTCTTAGTTTCTATGTAGGCTGTGTTTAAGGCTGTTGGATATACAACACTGTTTAGCTTAATATTTATTATTTAGTTTATTTAGTGATTTAATATTTAATGATTATTTAATTTTCATAACAAAAGAGTTAAAAGTTAATTATTTTAAAAGTAATAGTTATTACAAGTTCATTATGTAACTCTGTACGAATCGTGAATCGTACGTTGTGTATGTAGTTTTATTGTTGTACTAGGCTTTAGTAATATTGTTCATGTCATCTTACTCAAAGCTTCCAAGTTTTTTACTTATTTGTAATATCGTTGTTACTAGATATTTCTAGATTTTTCTGTCACGTGTTACAAATACATACAGATAGAGCAAGTTAAGGAAGATAGATACTTAGTGAAAGAAAACGTGAAGTTAGCCAGCATGCGAGTGATTAGCCATAACGGGGACGATATCTTAAAGTGAGTTTCACAGTTGAACAGAGTTAAGAAAAAATAATGTATTTTTATAAAAGAGTGTTCTAAAGTAACTGAACCAGCCTGTGTAGACTTTTAATGGAAAAAAAAATATTTAAAACTCTGGATACAAGTGTGGTAACCAACAAAAGAAGTGAAGTCAGAAAACATTAAGTTAGTGAAAGTGAAATTAAACTCCATGATAGTTAGTTTAGCCATAACGGACAATATTTTAAAGTTAGTTTCACAGTATAACAGAGATAAGGAGAATAATTTGTCTTTTCAAAGGGTGTTCTAAAATAATTGAACCTGTCTGTGTGGACTTTGATGAAAAAGAGACAATTATTTAAAGTTTGAGATAGAACTGTGGTACCCCAAGGGGTAACGTAAGTGAATTTATCACAGATTGTATAATAAGAAATAAAGCAAAGAAAAATAATTTCTATTGTCCATTGGATTCTAAAGTAATTGAATCAGCCTATGTGGACTTTTGACAAGAAAAGATAATTATTTAGAGTTTTAGATACAACTGTGATATCCTATAGTGTAAACAGTTCTTTTTACATAGTTTCACTTGTTTTCAATATATTATTTTAAAACAAGTGGATTGTGTGCTGTCCGTTTATTGTTTCAATTTATTGCCAACAAATCACAGACATCTACTTTGAAATAATTCCAGCTCACATATACAAAACCCTGACAAAGTTTGTGATGCTTAAGTTATATGAATGTTAAGTATAGACTGCTTTTAAAGCTAATATCCTAAGGTTATATAAATGTTAAGTAAAGACTGCTTTTAAGGCTAATATCCTTAGGTTATATGAATGTTAAGTATAGACTGCTTTTAAGGCTAATATCCTAAGGTTATATAAATGTTAAGTATAGACTGCTTTTAAGGCTAATATCCTAAGGTTACATGAATGTTAAGTATAGACTGCTTTTAAGGCTAATATCGTAAGGTTATATGAATGTTAAGTATAGACTGTTTTTAAGGCTAAGATCCTTAGGTTATATGAATGTTAAGTATAGACTGCTTTTAAGGCTAATATCCTTAGGTTATATGAATGTTAAGTATAGACTGCTTTTAAG